GTGGGGAGAGGTAAAGACAGAATATTGCATTTTCCCAACCCAGAACAATCACAGCATATACTTTTTAACACAAAAGCATAATTTCTCTGGCAAAACAAACAGGTATTTCATGCTCATGCAGATTTTTTTGCATGACAAATGCTCAATCTGGATGGGGAAAGAAAAAAAGAATAATAGAATAACAGAGTTAGAAAGGATCTTGGAGGTCTTCTAGTCCAACCCCTTGCTCAAGCAGGAGACCCTATTCCATTTCAGACAGATGGTTGTCCAATCTCTTCTTGAAAGCCTCCAGTGTTGGACCACCCACAACTTTTGGAGGCAGGTTGTTCCACTGATTAAGGAAATTCCACTTTAGTTCAAGGAGAGATCCAACTTAGAACTAAGGCAGAATTTCCTGACAGAACAATTAAGCAGTAGAGCAATCTGCCTCCGGAAGTTGTGAACGCCCCAACACTGGAGGTTTTCAAGAAGAGACTGAACCCTCTCATGCTGGGGAAGGAATGTAACTCTCTGCCATTATAGAATATGCATTTTCTACCCTTCTGCCCCAAAAGGACTCATTCTCACTCATTATGAAATAACTACTGAGGTTACTGTACGGAATTCACTCTGTACATGGTCAGTATAGTCTCCATACGTCTATGTATATTGCTCCCCAGTGCCCACTCTCTCATACTGACCCTGACAAAGAACTAGATTTAGTAATTTTGCTCTAGGAAGTTTTGTCTTATGTTTATTTCTGCTCCCAAGAGAAAATGCTAGACAAAGAAAAGGAGAGGGGCTGAATGAGAAGAGGAAGAATGACGGGATTGCTATTATTCCGTGTTCATCACACTTATATCCCATATTTTTCCAAGAGGCTCAAAGTAGTAACACTAATTAATTCTTGTTTTCTTGTTCTTATTTGAGTGGCATAAACCCTGTGAGATGTTTACACTAAAAGTTAGTACCTCAGCGTGTCATGAGTATGAGAACCTGTAATCTCTTGGTTCACATCTAATATTCACTCTGTTATGCTTCCCAGAAAGAAGATGAATCTACTGAAAGACAGTGAATGAGAATAGAACAATAGAGGACTAGGGATGGGTGAAGAAAAGGGTTCAAGAAAGGTGTCTAAAAGATGGAGAAATTAAAACAATCAGGAGATGCTCCCAGTCATTACTGGAAGTCTGAAGTCTGTTCAGAAAAGCAATATTCTAAGCCAACCATACTCTAATTTGAAGCTCTCAGTATCTATTGAAATACGACTTCCACATTGCCTGCTCATTGCTAATTCAAATGTTGCGAGATGTAATGGAACATAAACAGCTAGATTTGGGAAGGGTCTGAGATATCAAATAAGCTATCTACTTGTTCTGGATTTTGTCATCTCCAATTGTTTGGAATGGCAAAATAATGAAAATTACAGCTCAACATCTCTAAAAGGCACCAGGATGAGAAAACCTGTGCCTGTTCTACTGAGCAACACAGATGTCAGTACTCAGTGCCAAATCTCACATAGTTGTCATGGGATTTCATGCCTTGCTTTGCTCTGGGTGAACAATTCAATTGCTTCCTCAGCCCATTTATTTCAGAGTTGCCTCTATCTACTAGAAACTGTGGCAGATTCTGTATCCGAGTGAAATGACAACAGTTACAGCAACACTAAAAAGGTGTGTTGTCAATGAATCAGTCTCTTACTTACCTGTATCAACAGATTACTCTTGATCTGGCACCAAACTGATTTTTTGGCAAAGAACCAGACCTCCAGCCCAACTGAACATTAAAGATAGTCAACCAGGATTGTTTTGTTTCAAAGTCTGCAGCTTCCAACGAGAAGCCAGCAGGATCTCATTTAAGGATCAGCTACAGAAGCCACCAGGGATATTTCATAAGCAACTAAGCAAGGCAGCAGACATTCATATCCTGTGAGTGGTGGCCATCTGGAGACCACAGAGAATGGTTTGTTATTAAAACCAGGAGTTAAAATGCAGAAAAGCAAGTGCCAACCTCTAGCACAAGTAGCATGCACTCCAGAAATTGGAGGAAGGAGGGTGAGCTTTGAGAGAAAAACTCTCTGGGGATAAATAAGAAAGTGTTTGGAGGCCAAAGAAAGACACAGCAATGCAGAGGTTTCCATGAAGATTGGCGAGTTTACTAAAACTAAATTCTAAAGAAGTTAAGCACCTTTTTTCAGTTCTGACAGGCTCTTTAAACTAGAGCTAACTATGATACCTCAGTTGCTGCCAAAACTTGAGTTCTTCATCTAGAAGACTAATATGTTTCTAGGACAGATCCATATGGTGCCTTAGCAGAGAAGACCAGATAGAGAAACATTCTTGGAAACAATTTTAAGATGTATTAAGATGGATCTAATTCTCTTAATGGAGGGTTGGCATTTTGAAAAATATGAATATAGCAGAACTTTGAGAATGAGATGGGGGAATCCTTAAATTTTATAGAGATGATAGAGAGATAGATGATAGAAAAGAGGAGAGAGAGAGAGGGGGGGAGGGAGGGAGAGAGATGGCATATGAACATTTACATTACGTCTGTTACAGTTTAAGGGACTGCATGGCTTTTGAAACATTTTTCCTGGGAAAGAGAATGTAGGAAAATCATTGAAATCAGTGACTAGGATTTGACAAAATAAGCACAATTCAGCAATTTAGCAAGTATTTTTTAATATGAGCTATTGCAATAGCAGGATTTAAAAGAACTTAATATATTTGTAACTTGGGTAGTGTTTACATTGGCTGGAATGTGCTCTCAGTTTCTGCATTTTTCTCTTTTTTTATATATTTTTTTATATTTTTTTTTCATTTTGCAAAATCAAGGTCAAAAACACAGAACTCCCAGGATGCCAAGGACTGCACATTATTTTACCCACGTGGGGCAAAACTTCCAAAGTTGCTCCTGCCAACTAAAACCATCATGTATAAGTAGGTGTGGTCAAAGTGATTGAAGCAATTAAAATGAAATAGTTATAAAAAAAACACTGACACAAACAGATGGACAAGTGCACAAATTTAATCAAGGATATTCTTTATTGAATATTTAAATGATTAGGAGGAGCTCAATGCAAGGTATTAAATTCAAGACTACTTCCATGTGAAATATTTTATTTATTCATTCATTCATTCATTTAAATTAGTTATAGTTGCCCCCTTTAATAGAGCTGGCTTACAAAATACAAAGACAATAAAAAATAGTTAAAAACATATGACAGCACAGAGAGTCTGGGTGAAACCACCATAACAATAACATGCCAGGGACTCACAAACATATTAACCCCAAGACAGAGTTACCTCTCTACCCTGGGAACTGCAGGAGAGAGGGTGCCGTTCATATGTCAGTGGGATGCAATTACAGAGGCAAGGGCTGTGACAGAGAGGGCTACTTCCTTGGTTTCTTAAGAGGACAATGTTTAACAGAGAGGACCTCGAGCGTACCCATTCTGCTGGAATGTATCAGGTGAGCAAAAATAGTCTCTCAGATATGCAGGCTCTATGCCAGGGGTCCTCAACCCCCGGCCCGTGGACCAGTACCGGGCCGCAGCATGCCAGCAACTGGTCTGCACAAATAAGCAAAGCTTCATCTGCAGGATGCAGGCAGCACACAAAACCACACACCCTTCGGTCCGTGGGAAAACCTCTCTCCACAGAACCAGTCCCTGGTGCCCAAAAGGTTGGGGACCTCTGCTCTGTGCCATACATAGCTTTATGGATAATGATGAGCACCTTGCATTGCCCCCCAGAAACTGACTGGCAACCAATGCAGTTCATGTAGCAGTAATGACACTTGGTCATACAGATAGTTCTTGATTAGCGATGACAATTGGGATCAAAATTTCCTCTGTTAAGGGACACGGTCATAAACTGTGATGTCATGTGAAGTGCTATTGCTACTGCTATTGCTACTAAATACTCAGATAAGTGCTGAATGAATAATCATTAAACAAGGACTACCTGTACTGAGAATTGCCCATTATTGTTCAAGCTACACCATTTTGTACCAGTTGTTGCTCCTAGATGGTTTTTAAGGGCAGAACCTACATACCATGCATTGCAAAAATCCAGTTGTGAGCAGACTGGTGCATGAGTAACTGCTGAAGGGCTTCCCAGTTGGGAAGGATGAAACTGACACACAAGATGAACTTGTGCACAGGTCCTTCCACAGTAACCACAGCTGCCCCTGCACTTCAAGCATTATCTATGAGTCTAGAAGGACCCCCATATTGTACACTGGTCTTAAATGGAATGTACTATCCCATCCAAGTCCAACGATGAAACATTGTTGACCTGATGGACCAAGCTGCCATAGTCACTCAGTCTTATCCAGATAGAGCCAAAGTCTGTTGCACCATATCCAATTCTACACAACCTCCAGACACTGGGTCAGTACGTCAACAGCTTCACCTGTGAAGCCTGGGGTTGAGATTTAAAGCTAGGTATCATGAGAATACTGATACCAAACTTTGTACTGACAACCTCACTGAGAATTTTCTGTAGATGTTAAACAGGATTGGGGGAGAGTGTCAAGCTCTAAGGCACCCTACAAGTGAAGGGCTGTGAAAGTGATGTCTCCCTCTCATCAACTAATTGAAATCAACCTCTGAGGAAAGAGGCAAATTACTATAACACAGTGCCTCCAGTGGTGGTATTCAGTCGGTTCGCACCAATGTGGCAGAACTGGTAGCTATTTTTTTGTTGCCCAGGCCCAGAATGGACTTCTGGAAGCAGCATCCACACAGAGAACCGGTTATTCACATATTTGAATCCCACACTGAGTGCCTCCCATTCCTTCCAGTATGAAGCCTAGATATGTTACCCTATTAATCTCCCCCTCATTAAAAGGACCCAGTATTAAGGCCACAGTTTATGATTACTCAACTGCACTATGTTTGCGAAGAGATGCCCAGTATTAAATCCAACGTCATTTGTATATCAAGAATATGTTCCATCAACATGGGCACCTCAAGCCAGCTAGGAGGCAGCTATATGGTAGAGCCAAGTTCACAGTCAGTTTTGAGAAAATAGGGATCTTCTCAAGAGATTTCTCAGAGCATCTTTCACTTCTTTATTCCTGAGACTATAGATATAAGGGTTGGACATTGGGGTGATGACTGTGTATACCAGAGCAAAAACTGAACCTCTCTGAGAGGAATAGCTGGAGGTGGGCAAGAAATAAACAGCAATAATGGCCCCATAAAAGAGGCCCACTATAGTCAGGTGAGACCCACAGGTAGAGAAAGCTTTGCGTCTCCCAGAAGAAGTGAACTTCATTATAGCTACTACAATACGAATGTAGGTGAGGATGATGAAGACGAAAGGTCCAAGGATGATAATGACACCTTCAAAGAAGATGACTGCCTCGTTGACACGGGTGACTGAGCAGGACAGCTGCAGCAAGGGCTGATGGTCACAAAAGTAATGGGCCAGGTGATTTTTCCCTCGATAACTGAGACGCAGGAGCAGGCCGGCATGCAGCATGGAGTGTAAGATAGAAACGATACAACACCCAGCCACTAAATGCCCACAAACCTTTTGGTTCATCACTGAGGCATAATGAAGAGGATTACAAATCGCTACACAGCGATCCAGGGCCATGACACTCACGAGAAGGAGATCAGTGACGCCAAAAATGTAGAAGAAGAAGAACTGAGCCAGGCAGGAATAGAAGGGGATGGTCCTGGAAGTAGATATGATGTGAACTAGCATTTGGGGCACCGTGACTGTGAGGAAGCCAAGATCAATGACTGAGAGGCTACGTAGTAAGAAGTACATGGGGGTTTGGAGTCGCGCTTCTAAGGTGATGAGGAGGATCATCATGGTATTGCCCAGGAATCCAGCAGTGTACATCAGCAGAAAGAGGAGGAAGAAGAAATATTTGTCTTCAGGCTTGTAGGAAAAGCCCAAAAGAACAAACTCTTTAATGTCTGTCCCGTTCTTACAGTCCATGAGACCTGAAGAAAAATAACCTCATAAAATTAGAAATTAACATAGTCACTAGGAACAGCTTTTCAAACAAATCTCACAAAATAATTTAATTGTCAGTTGCAAAATGTCCAAACTGAATTTGGAGATTTCCACATTTAATGTCCAAATGTTTTTATAGTTGTTAGATAATGCAGTTTTTTTTAATATTTCAGATAGGTCCATCTTTATTTGAAATGAGCACACACTTAGCAAGGAACGTGTGTTTGAGGGTAAAATTCCAAGGATTCATGTAAAACTGATTTTATTCAATTTACATTTAATGCAATATAATCCAATTCCTCTCCAGCCAGGTGCAGTTCATCCTAATTATATTCAGTTGTTATCTAAAATGCATTTAATCCAGAGTTATTCTCCCTACGCCTACTGCTAAATCAAAAAAAAGAGTAACCGAAGAATACTTAACCCTTTGTATACCTTGTTCATTGCTTGAACATAATGACTTATGATTTGTGCTGAATAGAAACTTAATAATCTTTGACTCAAGACTGGCTCCTGATATTGTCAAACAAGGACAATCTTTTTCAATGTTCCAGTCTATCCTACAGCAGTATTATTCTCTAACATCCATGTACTGACTACAGTAGACCAAAACCCAGTTTAGTTCCCAAGCCCAGACAAGCTCAGCCAACACCATCAAAATAAAGTCAATAAACCTTAAGGGTTCATAATTTCAACAGGTCTGTTTTTCTTTAGGCAGGAAATCGGGCATTACTGGGACTCAAAATTTCTTTCATGTAACTTGAGCATCAGAATCTAAAGATGGCCAAATTAGGGGTATTACTCAGTTTAAGAAAGCCACAAGAATGTATGAATGTATGACTTTATGTTGTTGTGGGGAACAGAGGAGGAGGAGGAAGTATTATGTATCTTAACCATCTTGAATTATTTATAAAAAATAATAAAGGTGGGATCAAAATAAACAAATGGCTGTCTTTCTAGTCAAAGTTCTTATCAATTTCTTGATGTGCTTGTTAACAGATCAGGAACATTCTAAGTTCTTTCATCCTTTCTCTGATTGGGATCAGAATCTCTTTTGAGATTTGAACAGCTTCCTTTCTTGAACATTTTAGCCAAGGAAGATATTCTTTAGATTCCAGAGGTTACTCAATGAAAAAGAAGAATGAAATCTGATGTACCCGTTCCACGAAACTCAGTGTATCTATTTTAGTATGTTTCAAAGCTGGCAGAAAGGGTTGGCTCTCAGTGGATCTTTACGTGCAGAAAATCCCAGGTTTAATTCATAAACTCTCCAGATAAAGCTGGAAAAGACTCTTGCTTGAATCCTGTAATTAAACTAAACACAGAGCAGTGAGCCAGATGGACACAAGCCTGGTTGGGCCTGGTTCCTATTTTAAATCTTTTTTGTGGCAGTTCTGGAATTCGTAAACTTGTGGAACTTGTAAGAGTTATGAAAATGCTGGTATTGTCTCCAAATACCCAATAACAAGCATCCAAGACAAATGGTAAGGTGTGTTTTTCCTGTGGGGATGCTGTTTGCTTGCATTACATTACAATCACTCCAGAAAATCCTGCAGATGACTCCTTTCCTTTCCCATTTCTCCCCGCCTTGTTCTGCTTCCCCCTTGGCTCCCATCTGGACCCATCGATACACATAATGAGGCATCTCAGAAACATTAGGTTGCTTTCATTTCTTAGGCTTGCAAATCAGACAATGATCTGAGGCAGAAGCCAGCCAGTGAAGGGAGGACAGTTCCATGTGGGATTTTTTTTTTTTAAATAGGTTGCATGCGCTTTGCTTGCCTGGGTTGGGATGAGCAGTAGAGAAAGCCTTCTTGCACTCCATTTAATTGTTAATGAACTAAAGATTTGTAAAACTGAATCCAGACAGATACTCTTACCTGCTGCAATCACACCCTCTGGTGGGGGACTGCTCACAGAACTAAGCTCAAATCTATCTTTTCCATCACCTAGTCCCTTTTCTAACGGCTGCCATTTATGCCCCAGGCCCTTCTCCACAAACTAGCCAAAACCCACACAGAGACACCTTTCCTTGAGATGAAAGTCTAGTAGTGGTGGGGAGAGTATGAGTTTTCACCTGCTGAACTGTTGTCTGGATATCTCTTAAAAGGCATTGCAATCTGCCCATAGAAAGATGGCATTCCTTTCCAAAAGCTACCTATTGCCCCTCCCTTAAAAGATGGGAGAGCTCCTGCTTAGAAACACTCCTTGAGGTTTTTCCCCATTGCATCCACCCATGGCAAAAACATGCAACATCTTCATTGTCTCATGCTGGGTCCACATAATGGTCCTTTTCTCATCGATAGCCAGTTAGACTGCCTTAGGTTCTCCTTGACCATCCCAATACTAAAATAGTGTTTTCCTTGTTACTCCAACAACATCCAAAGGCAGCTTCAAGATATATAAGAACTTGAGGCTTTGTTATTTGGAGGGAAATCAGGGGACTGCAAAGGCAATTGAGGCAGGATATTGATCAGCCATGAAAACAGTCCATTTCTGGCTAGTACGGTCTTCTGCTGACTACAGGATGGCTGAAGAGCACCATGGTCTCTTTGACTTGTATCACCATATATTCCAAAGTTTTCTTAAGGGGACATTCTTAAATTTACATCAATGCTTGCTACAAGATTTCAATGTTTGGTTCTTGCTTCAGGGTGGAGTAGCCATCCAATGTTCCACATATAATCTTTCAATGCAATATCAAACCACTATGGATTTGCTATGGATAATACTATCAGATGTGTCCTAGTTTTATATTGCATTTCTAGGCATTTCTATGCCCCTTTCCCTTCTATAACATGCTAAATCATAAAAGTCTGACAATCATCTACTGTCCTGTCTCCTATTATCTGGGCTCTAACAGTGATACTTCAGTGGTCTACAGCAGTGACTGGGGAAGAAGCTAAGGAAACTGTGTATTGTATTGACCTGTCTCTTTTTGATGTGTGTGTGCTTTTTAGTCATTCTTGATCCTGCAATCCCATGGACAAATCCATACCTTTTTCTTGGCAACATTTTTTTGAAAAGGTTTTGCTATTGTCTTCTTTCTGGAGAGGCTGACTGGCAAAAGTCACCCAGCTGACTTCTGTGCCTAAATAGGACCAGAATACACAGTCTCTTGTTTTTTAGCCTGGTTCCTTTAACCACTAACCAAACTAGCCTTCATGTGAGCCACAGATATACCTGTCAGGTTCCGACTAATGAAACACTTCAAAGCAAGAATATACACTATTTGCAGCGTTGACAATACCTATATCCCAGGCATAGCTCATAAAAGTCATCTTACCAAATTCTAATCTCTACCTTGTATTTGGCTAATCATCTCACAGAACAAACCTGTCTGCCTCTAGACCAAATAGTCCTAACTAGGAGTCCCCAGATATCTTGGAGGTGTGTGTGTGTATGTGTGTGTGTGCGCGCGCGTGTGTGTGTGTGTGTATATATATATATATATAATATACATTTGAAGTGATATTAAATGGTTATTAATTTAATAAATTAACAATAAATAATAAAACTATTATCTTTTAATATTTTGATAACTATTTAAGGGTTTCCTTTGTAATACACATACACATACATACATACAAAGGAAAGCTATTTTATACATTTAAATACATTTTTCTGAGAAAAGATACAAAGTATTCACCATTTTCTCAAAGAAGTCCATGTTATAAAAAGATTATAAACTCCTGCCGTAAACATGAGAAAAAAGTCATCTACTGTTTTCCATATTTATGCAAATCAAACAGATTTTTTTTATCCTTACACAGATCCAGATGCATACTAGCCATATTTTGGATTAACTGGTAACCCCAAACCAGATCGTGCTTATTCATGGACACAGAAAAAGTAGAAAATCAAGCATTATTCCTTCTCATCTTTCATGCTAGGTTATCCTTGTGTTAGAATGATGGCTACCCTGTTTTCCTCATCTTTACGTTAAAGGGTTCAAACACATGCAACTTCTCTGTCTACTTCCATCAAGCTGGATATGGCTTTAGAGGTAAGATAGCATTGGTAGCATTATGTGCAAGTCAAAACATCAGAGACTGCAGCAAACTTTAAAGATAGCAATTCTACTCCTGCCTACCTCTATCCAGATGCTCTTAGTTTTTCTCCCGGGTGTGATGATCTTCAATAGTGGATCAAAACACTGGCTAAAATAGAAGAAAGCCAGACGGATCTGACTTGGTTGAATCTCTCAAGACTCCAGCAACGAGCAGAAAGAATTGCAGTAGAGGTTTTATATTGAAAGCCCTAGAGATATTTGACAAGTAGTCTGAATAGCTCATGGGATGCGGGTCTCTAATGCCAAAACTTTGGAGTCCTGTCCTATAAAACAAGCACAAAGTTTGCATCCCAAATCACAGATGAGTTTGTTTATTTTTGAGGTGTCCTTCTATATTTTTAGATGATTTTGCTGCAAGAAAAATTAATAAGGCTATTGCTCTGGGAAGTTTACACCATGGGCTTCCTAGGTTTTGAAAGGAATGTTGATAATTGTAGAGAATATGTCTGCATACGAGATGATGATGATGGCCCTAGAATCTTCCACCACCACCCCCCAAAAAAACCCCAGCAACCATGGAAATGTCGCTCTGTTCTTATTTCCTTAAGAAAGTTCTCGTCCTACCGAGAAGTCTCACTATTGCTGACTTTACCTCCTGGTTCCTTAGTGTATAGATGAAGGGATTCAGCATTGGTATCACCACTGCATACAAGAGAGAGATAAAAGTGCCTTTTTGGGCTGAATACGCAGAGGGAGGCTGGAAATAAAGGCAACTGATAGTGCTGTAGAACAAGATCACCACAGCCAGATGTGAGCCACAGGTGGAAACTGCTTTGTATTTCCCAGCGGTTGAGGGAATTTTTATGATTGTGGAGAATATTAGCGCATAGGAGACAATGATGGCAGCTAAAGGCCCCAGCAAATCCACCACCCCTTCCGTCTGTGCCAAGATTTTTATGAGTGTTGTATCAGAACAGGAGAATTCCAGGAAAGGATAGATTTCACAGAAAAGATAGGGGATTTCCATAGAGGTGCAAAAAGAAATCTGTGATATCAAAAGTGTATAGAGTAAAGAGTGGAGACCGGAAACGATCCAGGATCCAGAAACCAAAAATAGGCAGCACCTGTGGCTCATCACAGTGACGTAATGCAAAGGATGACAGACAGCCGCGTAGCGGTCATAAGCCATGCAGGCAAGGAGGAAATTATCTGTGTTACCAGAGGCGAGAAAGAAATACATCTGGGTCAAGCACTCATTGAAGGTGATGGTCTGAGTCTGAGACATCAAATTTATCAGGATTTTGGGAACAGTAGTGGAAACAAAAATGATGTCAGCCAGGGAGAGGTGGCTTAGGAAGAAGTACATCGGGGACCGAAGGAGACGGTTGTCTAAGCGGATAAGCAAGACAATGAGAATATTCCCTAGAAGGGTCAACAAATAAATAGACAGAAAAAGCAGGAAGAAAAGTCTCTGATATTCAGGTCTACTGGAGATCATCAAAAGGGTTATTTCTGAGTTGTCTGTTTGGTTCTGGTTAGCCATTCCACAGCTGAAATTGAATGAGAAAGAGATTAATATTTGATTTAACTAAACATTTCTCTTTGATCTCCTGAGGGAGGGCTATAGATGTACTGTATATGATAATTTTATTTCTAATGTGGGTCTCAGCCTGGATGTTTTTACTTTTTTCCCTTTGGCCTTATTTACTTTCGGGTTG